GCCTAGGCAAGTAGTGGATGTCAAATTCTTTTAGCTCTACATACCACTTAACGAGCCTACCTGATGCTTCTGGCTTTTGCAAAATACTTTTTAGCGAAAAATTTGTGTAAACCCAATTGAATGGGCTTGAAAGTAAGGGCGTAGTTTTCTAGCTGAATAAACTAACGCCAATGCCGTCTTATCTGCTATGGGATAACATCCCTTCGTTTAAGATAGGGTCTTACTGACATAGTAGATGGGGCGTTGTACAATATTTTTCTCTCGTACTAAAACTAAACTGATAGCTTGGGTAAAAATAGCTAGGTACAAATATAACTTTCTCCTGGTGTTGGTTTGAAAAGTAGTGGTGGGGAAGCTAAATACTTTCGTAGATGTTCAAAGGCTTCTTGGTATTCATCCATCCATTGGAAGCCAAAGTTGCGAGCACCTCTAATTACCTTGAAGAAGGGCAGATATTTGTCTCCTAAATGAGCTAAAAAACAAAAGTGTTGCAATTCTCCCATTTAGCCTTTGGACCTCCTTGATATTTTTCGGTGGCACCATATCTCTCGATGCCTTGATCTTTTTTAGATTAGCTTTGATTCCTCTATGGGTTACCATAAACCCCAAAAATTTTCCAGAAGCGACTCCAATGGCACATTTGGCGGGGTTGAGCCGTATATTGTAATGCCTCAACAAATGGAAGCATTGCTCTAAATCAGATAAATATTGAGATTTTTTAAGATTCTTTACCAACATATCATCCACATACACCTCCATATTACGCCCAATAAGAGTTTTGAAAATCTTATTCATAAGGCGTTGTTAAGTTGCTCCAGCATTCTTGAGCCCGAAGGGCATCACCAAAAGATATGGCTTCTTCATCAGCATGATTCATCTTTTTTTAATTATAGCCGGAGTAGGCATCCATAAAGCTTAACATCTGATGTCTAGAAGTGATATCATAAGTCAATACGAGGAAGCGAAAAGCTGTCTTTCGGGCAAGCTTTATGGAGATCTATATGATCTATATACATTCTCCACGCTCCACTCCCCTTCCGCACCATGATAACATTTGCCAGCCAAGTAGGATAGTGCACCTCTCCTATGAACCTGACTTCCAAGAGTTTATCTACTTCTTGTTCGATTACTTGTTGACAATCTTGTGCAAAAAATTTTTTCTTCTGGATGATAGGTTTGCATGCCAAATTAATTTTGAGGGAGTGTACAATCACTTCGAGGTCAATTTCGGGCATATCTACCGGACTCCACGCAAAAATATCTTGATTTTCTCATAAAAATTCTACGAATTTTTTCTTCTTGTTGTATGAGAGAAGTGATCCAATCTACACCTTCCTCGAAGGAAGTTCTTCAGAGATAGGTATAGTAGTAAGGTCTTCTATAGGGGAAGCTCTCTAAGGAATATCATGGTTCTGGAGATCAAAGTCCTCGATGCTCAGTGTAACCGTTGGACGTAACTTGACCTGTTTGAGATAGCAGGTTTGTGCTATTTGTTGATCTCCGAATACCACACTAACTCTTGTCTGGGTGTGGAACTTCAGCTTGACGTGAGGGATAGACGTGACAATCCCAAAAATCGATTGGAGGGGCCTCCCAAAGATAGCATTGTAAGATGATTCTAACTTTACAATGATAAATTGAATGGAGTGTGTAGACTGCCGGGGAAATTCTTCAAGTACAACTGAGAGACTGATTATTCCTTCTGCTCGTATAGGTCGATTATCAAATCCATATAAAGGACCTGCAGCAGGTTGAAGCTTTTCTCTTGAGAGACCCATATTGAGAAAAGTGGAATAGAACAGGACATCTAAGGAGCTTCCATTATCCATAAGAATTCTTTTGACATTGTAACATGGGTCACCTATGCCTGCATTGATAACAAGCAGATCTTGATGAGGGGTTTTTACTCCCTCCAGATCAGAATCGTCAAAGGTAATAGAGTGATCTATACGACCTTCTTTAGAGTTGAATTTTCATTTACAGGCAAAAAGACTTAGTCAGATAAAAAGGGATCTCCAGTGATTATCTCAATTTCATTAACTACTATTCAAGTACTCCTTCTCCTATCGAGGTTCTCATCGTGGCATTGGAGGTCTAGGAGGTAGATTATTCTTCCCTAGCTTCTTTCCTTGTGAAGATGAATTATCCATCCCTGGTGCACCCTTGCGCTTCCCATTAGTTTGCTCAAATTATTTTCTATGAGCATTTATGGCTTCGTATGTCGAGATTTGAGCTTCTACACGATGAATCAAATCGGCATATGAAGGAATGATGTCGCGCATGAGTGTCGAGTAAAAGGGGCTAGGGCGAAAGCCTCCAAGAAAGACTCCTCTCAAGAGGTCAGGATCTACTCCTGGAATTTGTCGAGCTTCAGTGAAAAATCACTGAAAATACTCCTTTAACGATTCTCCTTCATCTTGACGGATCCCGGAGAGATGGGAAGAGTCTTTAGCTATTCTTCGATTTGCTACGAACTGTTCAACGAAAGCTTTGGTCAATTTGACAAATGAGAGGATCATCCCGGATGGAAGTGAATAGACCATGTTTGAGCCTGCCTTTAAGGGTGGCAGGAAAGACCTGACAGAGGAGTGCGTCCGAGGCTCGCTGAATATGCATGATGATTCTATAGTGGTCGATATGCTCATACAGGTTGGACGTTCCATCGTAAGACTCCATGCTGGGTACTTTGAATCAAACCGAAATGGGATGCTGAAGAATGGCTTCAGTTAGAGGTGATGACTCCTGGAAGTCCCTTTGTCGGAGAGTTTTCCTCATATCCCCTTGGGGGAACTCTTCCCATACCAACCTTCATAGTTCATGACGCAGAGCATTGTGAGGGTGTTCGGCAACGTGTGGTTGGGCTAAGTCTTCTGGGAGATTTGGGACAAAGCGAGGCTACCGAGTCGAGGGCGAAGGATGTGTAGAACTTGCTGTATCAGCAAGTTTGTTATCCTATCGTGACTGTGGATGTCTTCTTAGTGGAGGAAGATGAATCTCTGTTTGGAGATGTTCGAATTGAACATCTTCAACCCGTGGTGGATCCTGAGGGAGAGAACTTCCTCCCGTTGTGCTAGTGTTGGTTGCCAATTTTCTCGCAGGAGTTGAAAGATCTCCTTTTGAGATTCTTCCATCTTTCGGATTCTCTCTTCTAAAGAAGGTCCCGATGTTCCTTCTCCGGCAGCATTCTGCCCCCCAGGATGAAAAGAGGTAGACATCAGGCATTTATGATTAATAGATTAATTTCTGGACTGACGGGAGTTGGAGCGAGAAGCTCCAATGATACGACTGCTGCGCCTGTTGACCATCGTAGCAATACTTGAAGTAGTGGGATAGTGGTTCCAATAGACGGAGCCAAACTGTTACGGGCTAGAATATACGCGGCGGTAGAGTTAGAGATTTTTTGTCTGAGCGTTGCACGAATATCTAGCACACACAAAGAGAAGATGAAAGAACACCATGATTTTTACATGGAAAACCCTGAAAAGGGGAAAAACCACGGGGCCACACCCAGTTGAAAGTTCCACTATTGTAGTTTGAGATACAATAGGCTAATTCGTCCCACAAGTTAGGACGATTAGATTACAATGAGTTTCTTTTGAATTGAAATTCAGTTACAAAGTTGTTTAGAGTTTCGACGTCATACGAGTATTCGGCAGAATTTTGGCATTATTCAGGCAGCGGGAAGAACTCCGGCGGTGGTCGAGCAGGAGCTAATTCTCCTTATCCTTCTCTTCTTCTTCTCCTCTTCTTGCTTGAGTCCCCTCCCATGAGAAATGAGGGGTCTATTTATAAATTTTTTGGAGTGGCATAGCTCGTAAATAGATGTGAGATCACGGGCAAATAGGGAGTGGTCGAATGGACGGCTAATATTGAATCCCTTGATCGTACACCGTTCGTCAGATATCTGAAGGCCTTAGTGATGTCGGAATCCGACGATCTTGTGCTCGTTGGATTCATCTCGTCAAGCCGTTCGATTCAACTATAAGCTGGTTAAAAACTGAGACCATTTGGTAACTCAAATTGTGGTACGAGCTTTCCAATAGCGCTTCGGGTGCTTGATTTTGGCTCATTTGGGCTCGGATTGAGTTGAATATGGTGTCGTTGGGTTTGTATTTTCGAGACGCTCAGTTTGACTATAAGCTCGTCGAAATCGGAGTTCGGGAGCTCCTAGATTTAGTTTTTGAAGTTTCCAGTTTGATTTTGTCTCGAGATTCGTGCTTGATCAATATAATTTTTTGGGATATATCAATAATAAGTTAAAAGAAATAAAAAATATGTAGTTGTTTAGTGGTGCTGGAAGATGGGGCATCAAATATAAAATCAAAATGTATACATATAAGTAACACGTAGATATTTAACAGGTTTAGTCAATCAGGAGGGGCAACGGTCAAGGTTGAATGGTAAACATATTTTATATATGTAGAAAAAGCCCAACCAATATCTAGCAGAATTCAGTCAATGGTCAAAGTTGAATGGTAATAAAGCAACTTAAGCATTTTACTTACCTCAAAGGGAACCGAAAAAGAGAGAAAGAAAGCAGGGCTCTCATCATTAGAATACTACAATTTATCCCTACATTAACTAAAGCAAGACTGATTAAAGTATCGAGAAGACCTCGCAAACAAAGCCAAGCCTTCGGAGAATGTTCCCCGTATTGTGCCCTCCCTTCTCCTTTACAACCCGTCATATTCTCCAGTTCTCATGACAAAGGGACAGATATAGAGAAAACCAACCAACAACTCCTCTATGTTATGCATTTATTTTGAAAGAAAAAGTTGGACTTCATATGCTTTATGATGTAGATAATTCATCAAGTACCTTAATTATATTTTTTATTTTAAGTAAAATTTGCTTGAATAACTAATCTTATAACTTAAATAATCAATATTAATCATAATAATATCAAAAGCTCCTCACATATTTTTTTACCGCTTCTAGACCTTTACCAGCTTCTGCACTCAAATCCAAATGCACAGCCATTCCCAACGCTCCAACTCCTGATGGCTGTTCAGTGCCTTAACTTGATCGCTTCCTCCTTCCTCTTCTCCCTACTCCTCTCTTATCTTTCTTCTCCCATTCTCTCACACCAAACACTTCAAACAAAGAAACAAGCTTCTTCCTCCATCAACTTCCAACGCCATGAGCACTCCCACTTATCGGTACCAAGGCCTTATCCTCCTCTATCTAATGGCAACCTTCTCAAGAACAAGAAGAGGAGAAGTATGAGGAGAAGGAAGAGCTTTTCAGGTCATTATCAGGTTGGGGAATTGGTCTTCTCCGCCATGCTTCCACGAGGTTTTGTTCCTCCTTCAGACTCTTCTTCCTGTCACAACGACGCACCAGAGTCCATCAACGCCGTCCACGGCTTGCTCTGCGGTGATGATCGTCGTCAAGTCTCTACGCCTTAATTTTTTTATCATTGTTTTCCTGAGTGAGGTTGCGAGGAATTGTATAGGCTATTTGTACTTCTTTGGTTGCTGGTAATATTGTAAGAAAGAGAAAGATAGCTCGAACAGAGCTAATTTATCTCTAATTTTTGTTCTTCGGTAGCTGTAAATTGATTTGTCAACTTTTTCTTTGGTTGAGATAATGAGTGGTTCCTCTTTGATATTCAACAAAGTCTTTTGTTTTGAGTAATGCTTTATTGCTCATTATTTCCTTATTAATTTAAGTTTAGTTAAACCGAAAAAATGCTTATTCCAATGAGCTATGTACTTGGAATCAAGGGCGGAACCAACCATAATTTTTAGGGGAGACAAATTTATAAGTAATTGTTGGTATATATGTCGGGGGTCCAAGGGTACAGCTCCCCTGGCAGGGTTCGACAATATATTTAATTATATTGGGAGGGAAATTGCCTAAAGACCATAATATTTTAACATTTTTTTGGTGTGGGGGGGGGGGGGGAATATTTTTTTTGGGGGGGGGGGGGGGGGGACAATTGCCTTAATGCCCTTGTAATAAAGGCTAAAAAATTGATTAAACGGGGACAAATTACCTAAATAATAGTATAATGAAAAAAAAAATTCAGGGGGTGCAATTCCCCCGCCTCAATGGGGTTCCACCTTGCTTGGGATGTTATCTTTTTAAGTTAGTTTGGTATTAATTTTTTGTGTGGATAAAATATTATTAATATTATTATTATTTGTGTTGTTAATTTTTTTTAATACGCTTTTGGTTTGGAAGAGAAAAGCAAAAAAAGAAATAGAAAATGATAAAATGAATTAAATTGAAATAGTATCACCCACTTATTTGGTTGAGAAAAAAAGTAGTGAATTAAAATCTCTTTTTTGTTTGATTTGAAAGAATTATCAATTAAATTCAAGAGAGAACAAAGCTTTAATGTATTCTCACTTCTATTTCACTTCACAATCTCTCTCTCTCTCTCTCTCTCAGACTTTCTCTCTCATACATACATAGTTTTTCATGATAAAACTAATTTTCTAATGCATTTCATTCAAAGAACAAGAATTTTAATTTTGGCTTATATTCTATTAATATTATCATTGATTAGTTAAATCATATATAACTTTTATATCTAGTAATTAATGTAATATTCAGAAAATTTTGTTTAAGCTAAATCAAGTCGGTTAAAGCTCAATCAACCTATTCAAGCTTAACTAACTCGATTTATTTAGCCTCAACATAAAACAAACTTGTTACTATACAAGAGAGAGCCTTAAGTGGGTTACTTTAATCTGAATACATGTCTTGGTCAGGTGAGTACAATCTATCTATCGACTCTAGTAATTATTATCTATCAAATCATCTCTAGTGATTACTCAAGAAAGGACAACTTCCCAAAGTAAGCTATTGATAAGTTACAGAGCTATTCAACTATCAATACATGCCAAGTTAACGAGCTCTTAATTGCTCATCAGTCTACTTTATCAAGTTAAACTTTCCGATCATACTACATTACTATTATATTTTCTCTAATTTTTTTGTATAACCATGCATGTAGCCAATTTTATGATACTCAAGCCTCAACCAAAATCTATAAATAGAAGGCTGATTGGTGAGCTTAGCTATGTAATTTATCTATAAGATGATACTCTATTCTCAATCTTATTTTATTAAAATCTTAGGGCTTCTCACTCTAGAATTCACCATTTCCTTCATTTCTTTATTTATTTTTTTAGTAAATATTCTTATTATAGTTAGGTGGGATTTATAATAATTTTGTTACTAGACTATGGTTCCCCAAGCATTATCGCCTGACCACGGTCTTCTAAATAATATTGTCCGACTATAATCCTCCAACTACCTTTGCTTAGTTATTTTTGCCCACCACCATCACCTAATTATAATTGCATGTCCATCATTACTCAACTCTGGTCCTATGAGTACATTTTGCGATCCTTACTATTATCACATGTCATTGACACTCAACTATAGTTCTCTTATCATTGTCACTCAATTATGATCCTCCGACCACCATTTCCCGATTATAGGTACCTAACCACTATCGCCCTACTACTGACCTTTGATCCTTTTCATCCAACTATGGTCCTAAGATCACCTTCACTCAATTATTATTCTTCAACCATAGTTGCTCAACTATGGTCCTCTAACTACCATCCTTGGACTATAGCCCTTTGACCGCCTTTGACCAACTATGATTCCCTTACCACTAGCACTTGGCATGTGAGAATGACCTCACCTCCTCCCCTACAACAAGATGATCCCTGGACTATAGCCCTTCGACCGCCTTTGACCAACTTGGTATGATTATCTTACCACTATTTCCAACTATGATCATCTAACCAACATTTTCTCACAATGATCCTCCAAACACCATCATTTTAATGATCCTTTGACCACCATCATGTGAGAATAGTCACACGACCACTCCTGCAATCCTCTAACCACCATTGCTTGACTATGATCATTCAACATTGTCACACGACTACGATTCTCTAACCATCATCAACTAACTACGGTCCTTAACCATCATCCCCAAATAAAGGTGCTATGAATAGTATCAGCCAAGTAGAACAACTTTATTCAACTAAGATCATCTTATCATGGTTCTAAGAGCACTATTATCCAACGATAATCATCTGATCATCTTCACCATATTATGATCATCTGACCACTATCACACAATGATGGTTCTACAACCACCATTTCCCAAAAATAGCCTCCTAATAATTATTGTCCTATTATACAAAGAAACATTGACTAAATCTCCCACCATCATCAGTAGCATTTATAAATGTCATCACCTACAAAAATGATGCACAACATTAACACAAACTATAACTCTCAGTTTCAGTATCAATATTTATATTGAACTTTGTGGTCTCTTATCTCCTCCTCACCAAAGAAGAATGAATAAACAAATAACAAATGATCTCTTAAAGATAGCTCCCTTGTCACTTGGCTCCTCTACCTTTCACCACAAAATATGTTGTGTATACTTTATATCTATTATATTGTATGAACATCTTCCCAAGCCATGGGCTGGTAAGTACATTATTTGCAAACGATGATAAATACTTGTGGAATTACTATGTAAAGCCCCATGGTTTCTTCCTTTATGGATTTTTGACATAAGAACTCTAGTTTCTATTGCTTCACTTTTTATCTGTGTGCATGTGAAATCTTTGTAGAAATGCTAAAATTTTATCTTTCACTACCCATGTATTTCTTTGGGTACACAACAATGTCTTCGTCATCAAATCTTAAACAGATTTTTCAAATGAAAAAAAATTATATGTGACCGTTATAGATCCAATTTTTAATGAAAATAAATTTTGACTATATCAAAATGCATTGCGACATATTTTGTCTATTTTAGAGTAGGAAATTTATTTTTTAAAATAATTTTAAATCTATTAGAGTTAACACTATGTTGTAATCTTATCAAACCAAATTAATGAACAACCTATGGGTTGTAATATATTTACTTGAGTGACCATAAATACAGTGCACATAAAAGACTTAGTGCACATTATTGCGTCCAGGAGTATTCGCGGCGGTAGAGAAATATAAAGTTTATCGTCTTAGCGTTGTACGAAAATCCGGCATGTAATCAGATAAGAGAGAGGGTTTAGCATTTATGAGACACCAAGATTTTTATGTGGAAAACCCCTGAAAATGGGAAAAACCATGGGGCCTAGCCCAGTTTGAATGAATCCACTAGTATAGCAGTTGATTACAAATGAGGCCCTTCCTTGGGAGAAGGCCTTAGCTTGATGTACATTTTATAAAGTACATTACATGATATAAATACAAATAATCACTATTGAAATGTTCGTTTGGTCGGGAGGACCGTAGTCGGCGGGCGATGGAGGTCGGAAGGACTATAGTCGGCTGGCGACGTGAGTCAGGAGAACCGTAGTCGGCGGGCGACGGAGGTCGGAAGAACTGTAGTCGGCGGGCGACGGAGGTCGGAAGAACTGTAGTCGGCGGGCGACATAAATCAGGAGGACCGTAGTTGACGGACGACGGATGTCGGAAAGACTGTAGTCGGTGGCGACGTAAGTCAGAAGGACCGTAGTCGGCTGGCGACGGAGGTCGGAAGAACTGTAGTCTGACGACGAAGATCAGAAGGACAGAGTCAGGTAGAAGTCCAACAATGGAAAGAAATCCATCTTCGCATAGACGTCGAACGAAGTCCGATAACCGATAAAAGTCCGACGTCGGGTAGAAACTTGGCGAAGAGTGAAGGTTTGACGTCGGGTAGAAGTCCGATGTCTGTTGGTTGCAGAGGAGAACTCCGGCTTCACTTGGGCGGAGTTTCGGCGTCAGGAAGGAACTCTGTTGTAAATTGGGAAGAACTTTCGCATCCCATGGAAGTTTGGCATAATTCTGGCATTCTCCCGAATATCCGGCAGAGTTCCGGCGTATTCATGCGGCGGGAAGAGCTCCGGCGGTGGTCGAGGAGGAGAGGATTCTCCTTTTCCCCTTTCTCTTTTTCTTCCCTTCTTCTTCTCTCTCTTCACTCCCCCCCCCCTGGTGTAGAATGAGGGCTCTATTCCCCCCCCTCCTTTGTGAAGAATGAGGGCTCTATTTATAGTTTTTCTGTAGTGGCATGGATCGTAAATAGTCGTGAGATCAGGGGCGAATAGGGAGTGGTTTGAATGGACGGTCGATATTGAACCCTTCGATCGTGCACCGTTCACCAGACATTTGAAGGCCTTAGTGATGTTGGAATTCGGCGATCTTGGGCTCATTGGATTTGTCTTGTTGAGCCGCTAGATTCGAGTATAGGCTAGCTCAAATCAGAGACCATTTGGTAACTCAAATTATGGTTTGAACCTTCCAACAGCACTTCGGGTCCTTCATTTGGACCCATTTGGGCTCGGATTGGGTTGAATTTGGTGTCATTGGGTTCGTATTTCTGAGACGCTCAGTTTGACTATAAGTTTGCTGAAATCGGAGTTCAGATGATCCCGGATTT